CTAAAATTAGAGCTTTATTAGTTTGAGCATCGTGTCATTAGAGCTTTTGAGCCATTCTTGCGAGAGTTTAAGTTCCTAGAGAGTTTAAATTTTTTAGCTTTTTTAGTTTGAGCCACTGGGAATTAAGGATTTCGTGCTTTTGAGCCTACTATTGGGGCGCTTAATACGCTGGAGAGCTGAACTTTGTGCTCTTTTTGTTTGAGGCCTGTGGTATGTTGGCTTTTGATCCATTTTTCAGAGATTTATACATCTAAGAATTCTGAGTCTGCGACCTTTTTTAGTTTGAGTAGTGTGGCTCTAGAGTTTTCGAACTATTGAGCTATTTTTGGGAGAGTGGAAGACCCAAGAGATCTAAAACTGATAGGTTGTTTTGTTTGAGTATCGTGGGATTGCATCTTTCTAACTGTTGATGCATTTTCGGGAGCGTAAAACATCGAAGAGCTCTAAAATTGTGAGCATTTTCAGTTGGAGTCCTATGGTATGAGAGCACGGTGATCTTTTGAGGTTTGGAAGCTTGCGAGCCACTCGTTCTGCCTAAACAAACCGTCTCGAAAAACCCCTGTGGCCCTTTCTGAGAAGCTCCTGGAATGCCGCTGTGAAAAGGCCCTTGGGAACCCCGATCCTCACGCCTCAAAATTTCGGGACAGACTGAGCTCCGTACTGCCGGGCTCTTGCTTATATACGCGAAGCTGACTCAACCACGACCCGGTACCCTTGACCTCAACATCGAAAACGGTGCCACGTTTAACCGCTCGCACTCGATGATATTATAGGAACCCTGATTAATATTATTAATTATACATAAAACGGTTAGATATATAAATACAAGGTAGAAACTCGTTACGTTCTTATAGAACGCAATCAACACATCCGAAAATCGCAAATAACTCATTAACTACTACTCATATATGCTTCCGACTTGTACCGAAATGTTTCTAAAAGTTCCTGCTAACTTCTTCAATCGCAAATGTTCAACAATTATGCGTACTAAGTGAGAAACTAAATGATTCGCTTGGTATTTGTCAACAAATTCTGAATTATCTTAGAACATCGTGCAGAAGAATAATTAAGAAATAATTAACGGGCCACGAAATCCTATCCAAAGTGATGTGAGAAAGTAGGGAACGTTGCATTCTATGATTCTGAATTACCAATGTTAATAAATGATTCGTAGGAGTTGAGTTATTAATGATTTACCTGTTGATTTGCTTGTTTTTTCTCATCGATGTCGCATTTAGTTCGGAGCTGCTACCGCTAGATGGCGAAACTTCGAAAGGATACCTCCTTGGTCCTGATGCTTCGCGAGTACGTACCAGGGACTGATGAGATGCTTTCTCGATGGAGGTAAAATCGGGAATGGTGTCTCTGTCCTTGTCGCACAGTAGCTCTGTCCTTGTCTTACACATTACAGGGATAGGGGAAAGCTTCGAAAATTCCCTACCGCTAGATGGCGGGTCAGTCGACAGTTACCTTTTTCGGAATGGTTCGTAACTTTTGGGACACGTGTTTTTGGTTAGAATTAAATCCCGAATGACACACTGAACTGTTTTGTTGTCTGTTAAGTAATGTTACAGTTCTAAGCTTGGAAAATACTAAAGCAAAATGGACCGTATAAGTAAGTTCTGAATTCTATAAGTACCGTTTATTTTTTCCTGGATGTATCTCTTATGTTTGAGACGTTTATCAAAGGAGATTATTTGTAACGGTCAATATTTACAGGAAAGAAGTATCGTAAGCGACCACCCATTGATGAGGAATTATTAAAAAAGCACAGCAGAGGTGAAGGGGTTAATGTGCAAGTTGCAACATCTAAAATAAAGAGTAAGATACAAAAACAAAAATTAGAAAGAAACGAGAGAGTCATAGATCATACGATAAAAGCTGCAGCCCGAGCAGAATTATTGCTGACCGAAGATTATGGTTGTCTGGAAGCAGATCCAGGATATTCGACTATGTTTTATAAACAGAAACAAATTGCAGAAAATGCAGACATAACTAGCGCGACTAAGCATTTTACATTGAGATTAGGTTTTGGTTGTTACCGTATAAGGTACACGAAGAATGGTAGACATTTACTTCTTGGTGGAAGGAAAGGACATGTAGCTGCTTTAGATTGGGTTACAAAAAACTTAGCCTGTGAGATGAATGTAATGGAATCGGTGCACGATGTGTCATGGTTGCACATAGAAACAATGTATGCTGTAGCACAAAAGTCATGGGTATACGTATACGATAATCAAGGCATTGAACTTCATTGTATAAAGCAAATGCATAATGTGAACAGATTAGAGTTTCTGCCTTATCACTTTTTACTTGCCAGTGCTTCCAGAGAGGGTTACTTGACTTGGCTTGATACCTCTATAGGACAACTTGTTACGAAACCTACCAATACCAGATTAGGAAACATACATGTCAGTTGTGTACATATACACGCATGTTAGTTAAATTATATACAGACATAATAAGTGATTTCTTTTTCACAGGTAATGACTCAAAATCCAAGTAATGCAGTACTTTGCGTGGGTGATTCGAAAGGAGTGGTTTCTATGTGGTCTCCAAACAGTAAGAGGCCATTAGCAAAGATGTTGTGCCATACTCAGGCAATAAGAGCATGTGCGGTTCATCCGCATGGAACTTATATGGCAACTAGCTGTCCAGCCGGCCTTCTAAAGGTTTGGGATGTTAGACAGTTATCAGGTCCAGTGTTCAATTATCGTACACGATATCCTGTACAACAGTTATCTTACAGTCAGCGTGGTCACCTGGCAATGGGAATGGGAAATGTAGTGGAAATTTTTAGGTAAAACGTCTACAGTAATTCCTGTATTATAACGGTGAAGACAACTTGTACCAATTTTTATTATTCTCATTAGACCTGCGGCCGAAGGAATGAGACCATATTTGAGACACAGAGGACAAGGAAGCGTGACCAGTTTGCACTTTTGTCCATTCGAAGATGTCCTAGGCGTCGGTACGTCGATAGGAGTGGCCTCTCTTCTGGTCCCTGGAAGCGGAGAAGCTAATTACGATGCTCTAGAAAGCAATCCGTTCCAAACCAAGGCTCAAAGACGCGAGGCTGAAGTGAAAGCTCTTCTAGATAAGATTCAACCGGAATTAATTACAATGGATCCAGTTGCCATAACAGAGGTGGATGTGCCTAGTTTGAGGCATAAGGTGGAGGAGAAGAACAAGCTCTTGGTGAGTATCGAGTAAAGTGAATACGTTAATCGATCATAATTGTAACGAATGACGAATATAATATTTGGTGTACTCTATTTGCAGTTCCTTAAACCAAAAAGTATAGACTATAAACCACGCAGAACAAAAGCTAAAGGAAAGGGTGGCACGGCCAAAGTAATTAAAAATAAAAAGATTCTGAAGGACCGTAACCGAAAGGTAAGCGTGTAAATCACTACTTGCTACATGCGTGCGTTGCAAATACTAAATATTTATGGTTCCAGGAATTTATTAACATTTTGCGAAAAGCGAAGTCACGACCAGACACGAAGAAAAACGGACCGAAAAAGAATTACGGAGTATTGAACAGATTCGTGTCGGAATCTAGATAATTTGTATCGCGTAATTTGAAACTTTCTAAAACTCGTCGATTCTCTATGTAAATTCATCTAATTGTAATTAAACCGTTTGGAATTTCTACTTTAAATGTATAATTTATTTCCTAAGGTAGTTCAATGATGCGTAATATTCCAAGTTGTCATCATGTACACGTTATGTGAAAGTAGCGAGGTGTTTAATAAAACGAGTGAGCGTTCTGCGTTTCTGCTGCTATAATTTAATGTCGTATTAAAAAGAAAATAACTTATGTAACTGCGATTAATTTTGGAACAGAGTGCGAGTAAATTCAATATAATCTAATGCCCCTGTGATCGGTCGTTCTGTCTTCGGATCGACGTACGGCTTCATACGGGCAACGCAATAATCGGCCATTTCCTTGGTAAGGTTCTGAAAACAAACGCACCGTTAGAAAACAACATACTTGCCGAGCTTATAGTTACAAGCTCGTCTTGAATTATACTCACAGCATACAGTTCCTCTTTCGTAACGTATGGTCGATCTGCGGCTGTGATCGCGCGGAAGGCATTCTCGATTTCTTCGGAGCTTTGCACGTTCTCCGTTTCCTTGCTGATCATGAACGCCATGTACTCTTGCAACGACACGTAACCGTCTCTGTTAGGGTCCACGATATCTGATGCAAAACAAAAGGCAACAATGTCATTAGAAGAAAACAACCTTACATGTAACATCTACAGAAATAAAATGAGCACTGAGAAATAACAAACCAAGGATGTTTTCAAACTCTGGATCCGGTTGACCTTCTTCCACCATCGGTAGATCATAACCAAGCGCTCTCAGGCAGGATTTAAATTCTTGGTGGTTTAGACGTCCGCTCTTGTCCTTGTCGAAGTGCTTGAACATCATGGAGAATTCTTTGAGAGCATCTTCCGAAACACCGGACTGATTCCTTGCTTGTATCTGTTGTTCCAAGTTGTGCTGCATTCGCATTCCCAGTTGATCCAACTGGTCCCATTGTTGCGCCAGTCCGACGGTACTGTGCTCTGTATACCGGTTGTCCAGAATCAGGTGTTCCTCCAGAATCGCACCCAGATCTTCTATCTTCTTTAAGTCCTGACGACGCGCTCGCACCTCTTGCGTCTTCCTCTTCGTGGCTTCCAATTGCTCCTCCAACGTTCCGGATCCCTCCATCATGGAGGTCCTCGTTCCAGCTAACCACTGATGGAACGCGTTGGCATGCTGGGCGAACTCTTTGCGGAGTTTGTCGTTCTCTTCCTGGCGCTCGGCTTCCTTCGCAAGCTCCACGTCACGCTCCTTGATTATCTTCTGCAGGTTTCGCCATGTGTCTTCCAACGCTTCCATTGTGAACCATGTGTACGGATTGGGGCCAACGTTGAAGCTCTTGATCTGTCTGTCGAGAGCAGCCAGAGCTTCGAAGTCGGCTTCGGCGGAGGACAGACTGGCTTGGAATTGCGCGTGAGCTTCTCTCAGAGCACGGATTTCCTCGATGCTGTTGCAGCGGACGGGGTCGGTGAGATCTTCCTCGGCGTTCTCGAACCACGAGTTGAATGCGGACGCTTTCTTGGCGAACGTCAGGTACAGTTCCTCGATTTGCCTGAACTGATCCTGCATTCTCAACAGACGTTGCTTCCTGGCGTCAGAGTCGGCCAGAAGTTTCTGCCAGCGAGCAATAACGTCCGCGTGGCGTTTCTGTATGCTGGGCGTTTGGTCGTGACCAGAATCCACCAGCATTTCCTTCAGCGACGTGATGTTCTGTATCCCCTCGTGCTCGAATGCGTGCAGACCCGCGTCGAACGTCTCCTGCTTGGTAAGAAGCGTTTGAACGGTGGAAAGGTCTCTTCCGAACTCCTCTGAACGAACGTGGGTCTCTTTGTCGGCTATCCATGACTCGACGACATCAGCCTTCCACATGAACTGCAGGTAAGCGGAATTATCGTTCAACCTAGTCTTCCTTCTAGCCGCGAGAGCGCCGAGTTGTTCCAGCTTGTTACGCAGCTGTGCGCATCTTTGAGCTATAGCATCCGCGCGATGGTTGCCAGCTTTGATCAGAGCCTCGCCAGCTTCGCATATGCCCTTGCAACGGTCCCCGTGAACGGCGAAATCGGTCTCGAACGCGTCGTGTTTCTTCAGTAAACCTTGAACAGCCGCCATGGTGTCTCCGTAGTCTTCTACGGACAGCAGTTGCTGCTTCTCCGTGATCCAAGCTTCCTCTTCCTCGACCTTGGCCAAGAATTGTTGATAGGTCAGCGACTCGTCCAGCTTCTGTCCTCTAGTGGCGGCTAGTTGCTTCAGTTCCGCCCATGCCTGATTCAGTAACTTCAGACGTTGTTCTATCTCAGGAACGCCCAAATTCGAAACGTCCATCAGCTTCTCTCCAGCTTCCTGGACTGCCTGTATAGCTGGCTCGTGACTGCCCAATTCAGCCTCCAGCCTCTTGTGTTTCTTCTTCAGGTTTTGGACACCGGTAAGGTCACGACCGTAGTCGTCCGAACCGACCAACAGCTTCTTCTCCTTGATCCAGGACTCCTCGTCGGCGATGTCCCTGAAGAACTGATGCAAGGTGTTGGCTTCGTTGAGTCTGGCTTGCCTGTGAGCAGCCAAATTACGGATTCTCTCGTAACGCTCGTTTATGCTCTGACGTTTCTCCTGGATGCCGGCTGCGTCGAACTGTCCGCTTTCTATCAGAGAATCCGCTTGGGCGTTCATGTCTTTGATCCTCTCCTCGTGCGCCTGGATATCGGCTTCCACCAACTGGTGCTTCTTCATCAGATTCTGCACGGAGGCCAGATCTTTGCCCGCGTCCTCGGACGTCAGCAAACTCTCGACTTCGCCGAGCCAGAAGTCAAGGTCCTTGACCGCAGCTATGTAGGTACGCTGTTTGTTCGCCTCCTTCAGTTTCATGGACTTCTCGGTCGTTTTCTGAGTAAGATACTCCCATTGATCGGCGATCGAGGCCAGTCTTTTCTGAACGGCATCCTCGGAGCCCGCGCACTGATGTTTCTCTATCAAGTTACCACCCATGGCGAGAACCGACTGAATCCTGTCCGCGTTCGCCGCCAACTCTGCCTCGAAGGCTTGATGTTTCTGATGCTTGGACTGAATGTTCGCGGGATCCTTGTAGTTCTCTTCGGTAGCCAACTGCAACTTCTCGGCGATCCAATTTTCCATCTCGTCGGCGTCTCGCGAGAATTGTTGCAAGGTCTGAGACTCTCCCAGTTTCGAGCGTTTCTCGATGAGAGCGTCCTTCAGGTGTTTCCAACGGTCCAAGACTTGACAACGTCTGTCGTCGATCGGTTTCGCGGCATAATGCTCAGCGGCTATCAACTGGTCCGCCAGAGTTTGGAGCGTAGCGATCTTATCCTCGTGCGACTTGATCGCCTTGTCGAAGTCCTCGTGCTTTTTGATCAGTGCTTCGACATTGTCGCTGCTGTCCACGGTGTCCGCGCTGCTCAGGAAAGCTTCCCTGGCGCTCATCCAGTTCTCCGCCTGTTCGCAGTCCCTGCAGAAAAGCTGCAACTCCAGATTCTGGTCCAACTGCATGCGTCGCTGAACCCAGGCTTTCTCCAGTTCCTGCCTCGCTTCCGACATGGACTCCAGCTTCTCCTGAATCTCGACGCTGGCATAATGGCTGGACTGCAGAAGCTGCTGCCCGAAGAGCTCGAACGCTTGGAAGGTACCAGCTCTGGCGTCGATTTCGATTCGATGTTCCTATAACACAAGAGACCAAGGTTCATCGCACGGACTTTCCATGGACTCGACGGGGATTCACACTCATGTTGCGCATATGTTTCAATCCACTCGACAATAGATACTACGATAAGCAGCGAGAAGGCAGCGAGATCGCACTATGAGAAGCTCAGAATTGTTCAAAGTGTTAATAGGCGTGTCTTCATGACAAAAACATCGATTCGCCGGCCCACCCTCTTCGACGAGGACAATGGGCCAACGACGGAAACGTTTGTCAAATAATTAATTGCATGAATATACTCAGAGGCAAAGTCGCAGATTGGTTCGATTCATGCTGAAACACTTTGATACCTCTGGAAGTACGCCGTATCGTGCATCTATCTCTGCTCTGTGATTCTATAATTTAAACGACTGGTGAACGACTGTTGAGTAAGTGGACGTTTGTGATATCCATAATCGTTTGCGGGGCCGACACTCACCTGATGGCGATCCAGCAAAGCTTCGGCACCGGTGGAATCGGAAGCCAGCTCCTCGGTAGCCACCAGACCCATCATCGAGTTGATCCAAGCCATCAGATCCCTGTAATCGCTGAGGAAACGTTGCAAGTCGTACGAGTCGAGCAATTTCTCCTTCCTGCTGTTGGCCTTCGCTGTGAGCTGAGTCCATTCCTCGTTGATCTCTTTCTGCTTCGCGTAGGTCTGCTCCGCGGTCTCGGGATGACTCTGCATCAAACGGTTGGCCGTCTCGTCCAGCTGCTTGATCTTGTCTCCCAGCGCAGCCAAGTCTCTCTCGAGGCCCTCGTGTTTACGCTGCAGGGCCTGCACGCTGCGCAGATCCTTTCCAAGGTCGTCGTTGTTCAAAGCCGCGTCCTTCTCCCGGATCCAATCCTTGGTCTCGTCGACGTCGCGATGGAAACGTTGCACCTCGTGGGCCGAGCCCAACTGATTCGCGCGCTCGGCTGTTAGGGTTTGCAGACTGGTCCACTTCTCGTTGAGGTCCTGGATCTGCGTCTGGATCTTCAACGCCGCCTCCGTCTGTCCCAGGCTCATCAACTGCACAGCAATCTCGTTCATCTCGGCCAGTCGCACCTCGTTGGCCTTCAGGTCCGCCTGGAAGTCGTCGAACTTCTTCTGCATCACCTCCACCTGTTCCAGGTCCTCGCCGACGTCTTGGACTTGTGCGTGGTTCTCCTTGTCTTTGATCCAAGTGGCCAACTCCGCAGCTTCCCTGACGAGCACGTAAGCCTTCGCGGTCTCGTTCAGTTTATTCTGTCGTTCCCGCGCGACTCTCAGCAGATCCTCGTACTGGAACTCGATCTGCGCCTGCCTGGCTCCGATGGAACTCAGTTCCCTGGTCAAGTCCTGCAGGGAGGCGCTCCATCCTGCCTCCGGCTCCACCCGTTTCACGTACGCAGCTGGAACGAATCCTTGACGATCGTTCACCTCGACCTTCCACCAGTCTTTGTTGTTGGAGTTCAGCAGGGTCAACGTGTCGCCTTTCTTCATGGACACTTCCCTGGGCGATTTCTCGGTGTAGTCGTAGAGGGCGACGACGCACTCCTTCCCGGTGATATCGACCGTCGGCGCTTCCTGCTGGCGACACGAGTGAGCCTGTTCCTCCAGCGCAGCTATGGTGCTCGCGAAAGCCTCCAAGTCGCTGACCAACGCCTCGTGCTTCTTCAGAAGAGCCTCGGAGCTGTCCTCGTCCTTCCCGTAGTCAGCGTTCAACACGATGGGTCTCTTCTCCTTTATCCAGGACTCGGCTTCGTTCGAGTCTGCGAAGTACTGATGCGCCTGAAGAGAATCGTCCAGGTCGTTCTTGCGCTGTCGAGCCTTCTCCTTGAGCTGTCCCCAGTGCTCGTCCAGGGCGGCCAAACGTTGGCTAATCTCTTCGGCGGCGAAGTGGCTTTCCTGCAGCATCGTCGCTCCAGCCTGGCACACGGCTGCCACGCGTGGCTCGTGGTTATTTATCTCGGCCAGGACTGCTTGATGTTTCTTCTGCAAATTCTGCACACCGATCAGATCACGGCCACGGTTGGTGGACGCGGCGACCGGCTCCTTCTCTCGGATCCAAGCTTCCTCGTCCTCGATGTCCCTGAACAACTGCTGCACCTGCAAAGAGTCGATGAGCCGTTGCTTGCGGATACTCATAGGCCGCTGCAGCGCGGCGTATCGGGCCTGCAACTGTTCCTGCTTGACTTTGATATTGTTGGCGTCGAAGTGGCCCGACTTGACGAACTGATCGGCGGCCTGAGCGATGCTCTCGATTCTGTCCGAGTGAGAAGCGACGTCGGCCTCCAATAAGGCATGCTTCTTCTGAAGATTCTGCACGCTGGTTAAATCCTTGCCATAATCTTCGGACATCAGTTGACCCTCGACCTCGGACAGCCACAATTCGATGTCCTCGACGGTGCGATTGAATTGCTGCTGTTGGGACGCTTCCTGCAACTTCGCGCCTTTCTTCTCGGTGGCGTGGGTCAGGCAATCCCATAGAACCATGATCTCGTCGGTGCGAGTGCGAATACGATCGCTCGCGTAGTGATCGCCTTCGATCAGCTCCTGACCAGTTGCCACCATCTCTTCCATTCGAGTCCTGTTGGCGTTCAATTCTTGCTCGAAGTTCTGATGCTTCTGCACCTTGCCGTTCAGATTGGTAGGGTCCAAGTAGCTGTCGTCGGTGGCGAACTTCAGTTTCTCGTTAACCCAACCCTTGGTCTCGTCGCAGTCACGTTCGAATTGTTGCAGCTTGTACGCGTCTTCCAATCGCCGCCTCCTCTGCGCGGACTTCTCCAGAAGAATCGCGCGTCTCTCTAAGAGGGACTCGCGTCTCTGTGCCACGTCGTCCGCAGCGTAATGTTCACCCTCGATCAGTTTACCGGCGAATTCGTCCAGTATTTTGATCTTGTCTTCCTGAGCGGCGAGAGACTTGTCGAAGTCCTCGTGTTTCTTTATCAAAGCTTCCACGCTGTCGAGAGAATCTCCCAAATCTTCGTTCGCCAAGAATGCTTCTTGCTTGGCCATCCACGCGTCCGCTTGTTCCGTGTCTCGGTAGAACAGTTGTAAATCCACGCACTGTTCATACAAAATTCTCCTCTTCTCCCAGAGGCTCAGCAGAGACTGCTTGTCTTCTGCCAAGGAGTTCAATTTCCTAGCTACCTCCTCGGCAGCGTAATGTTTCTTTTCCAAAAGCTTATTGCCAGCTAACGTAGTTGCATCGAAACTATCGGCTCTGGCATCGATTTCACCTTTGTGCTCCTGATGTCTGTCGACAAGGGCTTCTGCGCCAGCTACGTCCTTTGCCAATTCATCAGCCGATATGATCGCTCGCATGTCGTTCATCCAAGAAACCAGATCCCTGTAATCAGCCAAGAATCTGTGCAAATAGTAAGACTCGTCCAGTTTCAAACGTCGCTCCTTCGCTTTCGCTGTAAGGCTTTCCCACGACTGCAAAATCTCCGCGCGCTTAGATTGAATCTGCTTCGAATGATCCGCCTGATGAATAGCTGCCAGACGATCGGCCTCGGTTCCCAAAGAGTAGACTTTATCTTCCAGTGCTGCCAAATCACGTTCAATGCCCTCGTGTTTTCTTTGCAGCGTCTGTACGCTCGCGAGGTCCCGACCAAAGTCGTCCGAAGACAGAACAACGTCCTTCTCGGCGATCCAAGCCATCGTCTCATCCGCGTCCCGATTGAATCTCTGAATCTCGTGAGCTCCGAAAAGTTTCTCTTGTCTCAGAACGGCAAGTTGTTTAAGCCTCTGCCAAGATTCATTCAGTTCTTCCTTCCTGCGTAGAATCGTATCTCGTTCGGGGTGACCGTCCAAGAGTAGTTTGTCTGCCAGTTCGTTTACTTCTGTCACTCTGTACTCCTGGCTCGCCATATCCTTTTGAAATTCGTCAAATTTCCTTTGAAGCACTTCGACGTGTTCCAAATCGTGCCCAAATTCATCGGTTGTTACAAAGGCTTCTTTGTCGTGAATCCAAAACATTACTTCGTCGCAGTGTCTGAGGAACTGTACGAGGACCAAGGCCTGTTGCAGTTTGAGGCCCTTCTCTGCCAAACGAGAGAGCAGCAACTCCCACAGGCGATGAAGCTCCTCTGTGGAAACAACGTAAGGTCTCTTAGTACAACTTCCATGGTACAAAGTACGCGACATAGCTAGAAAATGTCAATGACATGCCTAATCTTTTACGAATTACATCGCTGGCAAAGTGATGCTGAGCTATCATCTCGGAGCCCGTGTTATCCAATGACACTATAGCATTGGAGTGAGCCGCAACCTCTGCCTCGAATGCTTGATGTTTCTGTATCTTCGCTTGAAGATTCGTCGGGTCTTTGTAGCTCTCGTCGGAAGCAGCTTGCAATTTCTCGTAGATCCATCCTTCGAGTTCGTCCGCATCTCGCTTAAAGTACTGTCGACGAACAAAACGTCATCGGACTGCACGGAACGAGGGCAAAAACAAACGAGCAAAAAACGTACCTGAAAGCGACGGGAGTCCTCGAGCTTGTCCCGTTTGTTGCGAGCCTCCGCCTTGAAATTCGCGTACCGACCCAGCACCTGCTCCCTCCTCTCTTGAATGTCCTCTGGATTCTCCAGAATCTTCACTTCCTTCGGCGTGATCTGATCCATGACAGGAGCTGTTCAGCCTTGGACACGTCTGGAGAGCAATCACTTCTGTCCAAAATGGCCACGGGGTGTGGCAAAGTAGTTCGCTGCGAAATCAATAAGTCCGGCCTAAATAAAACGCTTCTTTCGCGATACTCCCGAACGGTTATCAACTGGTTTCGCTGTGGTTTCGATGATTAGCGTGCGAAAGAACAGAAAAGTGACACATACTTCGTACGATTTCCTGATGATCGACGCGCTCAGCGACACTCATCCACGTCCGTGGTTCGATACTGACTACGGCCGTCCTACGTGTAACACTGCTGGGAGAGACGTTTCCTCGGGAACCCACGTCGGCCATTGGTCGGCCGTTCGAGCGTTCGACCAATCGGACGAGAGCTTAATAGGCGCGCTTTATCAATTCAGTCCATTATAGTCGTTACGTCATCGCTGCGTAATCATCTTTATTAGGCACTTACCGAATGCGGACAATATTTCAAACAATGATAAGTAACTTTTATCGAAGATTAACGTGTTTTATAGACAGATTTTCATTATCGACGATACACCCTGTTAATCGAAAGTACTTCTCGTAGGGAGAATCCATAAGCGGAACGACGTTCCGTAATTTTCAAACGAAACATCCAATTGCAATCGAACGAAGTGGACGGCTGAAATGATTTCTTCTAATCGTATCTAGCGAATCATGCGACAGGTAACGAAATAAAGATGATCGGTGTATGATACGGTAATCTTTTATTAAATTTCACCTACAAACAACGAATCACAGAACGTTACATTAGAGTTCCTTACGTCAATCCATCGTGTCTTCGTAATTATTTTACAAGGTAAATAATCATAGATTTATCCCTATTACGGTAAAGTCTTATCTGTTAAAATATCTTGTAGCGTAGTCAATCGTAATGTAATATGTAAATTTAATTCACCTAAAAATAGGATGATTTCTTGTTGTAGTGTCATCTCGTTCATTGTTTATAAGTGGATGTTTTATCGTGTATAGAAGTGGTACTATTCATAGGTACTTGCTTTTTTTGTCCATTGTACTCTGATGTATTTCCATGTGTGTCCTAGCTCTCTTTCACTCGCACACTCTCTCACACGTTCGCTCGGTCCTCGCTCTCTCTCTCTCTCTCTCTCTCTCTCTCTCTGTTTTCATCGCCGTGCACTCTTCTCATTCTTTCTCGCTTCCTTTCTCACTTTCTTTACTATCTTACATAATTTTCTTCATCTTTTAATAATATATCTCTCGCCCGATATACGCGGTATATGCAAAGAGTGCGATATGAAAAAATTCCTCGTGTACCAAAAATTGTTTCTGAATATCTCTTTTTCTCTTTCCCTCTATTCGTTTC